CTGCCTCCTGAATTCCACTACTAATCACCAAGATGATTATCATGTTTATCAACTAATTGCTTTTTCTAATAATTATACTTGAATCTGAAAAAGGTTGGAGATATGCTTTTCAATGAAATGCTGTTTGTTTTACAGCCTTGAGTATTTACAATGTGTCTTCATGGGTAGTTTATGTCTGAATAGTTGACTACAGGTGTCCTTTAGTTGATTAGTTCATTTCTACTAAATATATGTTGATATTTTTCTTTGAAATAATCAAAAAATTTCCCCGTCCAAGTAATATTCCGCCTTCGATGCTGACCAATTAATGTGTTTTTAACGCATCTAGGAGACTGATATTACCTTAAAGGATTAGATTCGGCCTTAATCAGTGCTGTAGTTGATGATTTTACGTACTAAGAATAAGTTATAGAAGTGAGTTATACTTCCCCCCGCCTCCTCAGTAGATTAAAACAACTTAAAGCTTATTGGATAGAGTATATGAGGTGTATGAAGCATGAAAATACCTAGTCAGCTTATTTGTTTTTCCACTAATTTTCCTTGAAGATGAAAATGTCAGAGATGTAGCTTTTCATTTACATGCTAGTTCTTATATTTAGTGATTTTTCAAGTTGATATTCATCTTGCACTGACATCACCTGAAGGAACATTGGAAACCTAAAAACACTGAACAGATCTTTCATCCTAACACAAGACTCCTCAACAGTGCACACCAATTACTCCAACTCACCAGAGATCCAATCCACCACCATCACGTTCCATGACAACCACGTCACCTTCGAACCACAAGGTCGGAATCCAATCGTCCACATTTCCAACTCCTGTCAGTTCACAACATAGTGCCACCATCACCCAATATCATCGTTGAGTATTTGTCCTCACGTGAACCACGTTTGCTCCACTTGGTCATGACTTCTCATCACGACTTCCGAAATCACCTCTCGAAGCTATTCACCAATGACCAGTGGGGAAAACGTGGTTCACGTGAGGACAAATACTCAACGATGACATTGGGTGATGATGACGCTATGTTGTGAAGTGACAGAAATAGGAAATGTGGATCACTGGATTCTGACCTACTGGCTCAATTGTAACATGATGGCCACGGAACCTGATGGTCATGGATTCGATTTCTGGTGAGTTGGGGTAGTGGAGGCACACTGTTGAAGAGTCCTATACTAGGACGGAACACCTTTCCAGTGCTTTCAGGTTTCCAATGTTCCTCCAATTGATGTCACTCCATGATGAATATCAACTTGAAAATCTATACAGTACAATAAAGATTATCTTCATATCGATCTTATGATCGGTTTCTATGATGTTTTATGATTGATGAGAAAGGATATATGTCGCCTACATTTATCAAACCATTAAAGGTCATTTTTCTTCTGGAGTCACTTGAGCAGATGTTCAATAGTTCTTAACTGCATGTCACGATGGATAGATACAATGTGATGTAATATACTCATTCAAATGCCGTTCAGGTTTTTTGTTGAAGCATGAACATTATATTTTTTTCCACTAAGATGACCTTAGCCGCATAGTATATAGTGCTAACAACTGATATGAGGCTTTTCTTCAAGATTAAACAATTTGATAAACACATTTGTCTAAGGGACAAAATACTGATTAATCTATCTTAATGTACCATAGATTTTGCATACTTGAAGATGCATTTCAATGGATATCCATTACGCACTAATGTTTCTGTTGATAATTACGCTTCCATTTCTCTTGGATCTTCTGTCCAAATACAAATTAATGTATTAAAGAAACACGTGACTAATCTGCACTCGTGTTAAACTGAATAGCAACTATGGAAACTAAGGTATTGTCCTGTCAAAGTCTATTTCCTGTGGATAAGTCTTCTGATTGAGCCATTCGACCATCGACTAGTCAGTATATAGATTTTCAAGTTGATATTCATCATGGAGTGACATCAATTGGAGGAACATTGGAAACCTGAAAGCACTGGAAAGGTGTTCCGTCGTAGTATAGGACTCTTCAACAGTGTGCCTCCACTACCCCAACTCACCAGAGACCGAATCCATGACCATCAGGTTCCGTGGCCATCATGTTACAATTGAGCCAGTGGGTCAGAATCCAGTGATCCACATTTCCTATTTCTGTCACTTCACAACATAGCGTCATCATCACCCAATGTCATCGTTGAGTATTTGTCCTCACGTGAACCACGTTTGCCCCACTGGTCATTGGTGAATAGCTTCGAGAGGTGACTTCGGAAGTCGTGATGAGAAGTCATGACCAAGTGGAGCAAACGTGGTTCACGTGAGGACAAATACTCAACGATGACATTGGGTGATGGTGGCACTATGTTGTGAACTGACAGAAGTTGGAAATGTGGACGATTGGATTCCGACCTTGTGGTTCGAAGGTGACGTGGTTGTCACGGGACGTGATGGTGGTGGATTGGATTTCTGGTGAGTTGGAGTAATTGGTGCGCACTGTTGAAGAGTCTTGTGTTAGGACGAAAGATCTGTTCAGTGTTTTTAGGTTTCCAATGTTTCTTCAGGTGATGTCAGTGCAAGATGAATACCAACTTGAAAAATCTGCACTTTCATTGAACCCACCCTGGTGGTGATCTAACCTTTTTATGTTTCCTCTCTTTTTTTATCCACTCTGCACTGGTTATCTTTCACACTTATAATTCCATTGACCTAAATTAACTATTCTCAGTTTTTTAAATAAATTATTCAACAAGTTCAAGTATGTATATGTGTGTATGATCAGATTGTTCAAAATGTTGTAGCGCGAGTCCCTGCTATCTGAATTGAATGCTCTATATTCCAGTTATGAAAGGTGTATGATAATATTTACTGATTGCCATTTAGTTGTAAACTGAGCTGAAACAACTATTAGCTGAGTCATGTGTTCTCTCGGTCCGCCCCCCCCCCTCCACTTCGCCCAGTTGATATTCTCCTAAATTAGTGATTGAAATGAAACAGAGACCTAATTAAAAATTGGGTCTAGTAACCCCTGGTTATTCAGCGTGTTCGGTGGATAAACTTGAGGCTGGAATCACTTCTCCTACTTATATTGAAGACGCTTTTTTCAAATTCACTTGTCTTCTTTGTAATGACATCCGTTGCAAAAGAGGTGGCTATCGTCGCCACCCCCCTTCCCAGTGGCTTAGTGGATAACGCTTTGGCGTTTGAAGCTAAGGACACTGGGTTCTAGCCTCGGTGGGAACAACATCACTCCGCACTGGGGTGCAGCTACGTCCAGTTGACGAGTGCCAAACAGGACGAAACCTGCGTCCTGGATTTCTCTACTAGCCACCAAGATCAATATATCATTTATCTTCTGTTTACATAAGGTCAATTCTAAGTTTAATTTTTCTTCAATTTGGTATTGTTTGTAGTATCAATAAAATGTCAGCCTTTTTTTGGATTGAATTATCAACTGACACTGAGATGGATTCTGAGCCATATCACTTAGAGTCTCCAACCACTGGTTTCTGTTACCACATGGACTCCAATCGGGGAGTCAACATCACCCTATTAACTGAAAAGAACAATAAAAGACTTTTCAAAATGATACAATATTTCTATCCGACCACCCCTAACTTTTTTCCAGTCTAAACCTACTTCAGCTACCATTATGCGATTAGGCAAAGTGTGGCTAGGCATACGTAATGCATATTTCAGCCACTTGAGTCGATGAAGGTTCACAATCTGATCAGCTGACTTTCTTTTTTGCCTAGAACTCTACACCTGACTTCTTTGTTACTGACATGTTAACACCAGGACACACGACTTATACTTGAATGGCAGCAGTAGTCGAACAGCACAAGTCTTATCATTTCATTTGTTTTCAGTGAACATAATATTCAGACGTACAGTAGAACAGATGGAACTTCAGCCCTATGCCCGTAGTGGGCAATTGGATATCATGTTAACTCCATAAATGGTGTAAGTTAGTGAATGCCAGTTGAGGCTTTTGTATCCATGCAGAGATTTCGTCGGCCACTAACGCACTAGGGCTGATCCGACTTTCTACATGAGTGAAATGTTCTCCGCACCACTTCACTGCCTACTGTTAGATAGGGTACCCCTGGAGACCAGTCCTGGAGCAGCAACTTGAATTTGGGTAACTTGTCATTCCCGTCGTTGATTTGACTAATAACTCCTTTGGGTTTGAAGTGATTAGTTCTGGGTTCACGTCTCGAAGGGGACAGTGTCACTCGTTGGGAGGCAGGTGCATCCACCTGACGAGTCCTAACCAGGATAAAATGCGCAACCTGGGTTCATGTTGCTAGTCACTATCTGTTTTTAAACTGAAATTTCGGATAATATCGAGACATCCACGCAGGAACCGATACTCCAGTAGTGACCGATCAATTCGCCCTAATCAACGATCAGAAATTACAAGTAAAAAAACTAATATCAAGGCAGTATTCATCATGGACTGTCATTTGTTGAAGAACCATTGAAGAACTGGCAGTACACTAGTACGAAGCTGTGACCTGTAGGGTCAACAAGTTAAACGTGAGGCGGATATCAAGTTGAAGACCTTGGTAGATGATCGCGTTATGTTGTGGATTGGCAGAATTAGGAAACTGTGAAGTATTGGACTCCAACTCAGTGGCTGAATGTTTAACTCACCCGCCATGAAACCCGAAGGTCTTGAGTTCGATTCATGGTGAGTTCGCGAGTGTGTGGTGCTTGGGAGTCCCATACTTGGACGTGTATCAGTTGTTGTTTATTACTACTTGTAATTTTCCGTCGCTATCATGGGTCGAAACGAGCGTCCTGGATTCCACTGGTAGCCACGAGGTAGACCACAGTCTAATGAATATCCCAGCAACATCAAAGCATCCGCATAGGAGCTCATCTGGTAACAGAAGTCGAATGGTTCGACGCAGTACAACAGTGGGGAATTACAAGTATTACTACACAGTTTCAACTGATTTTATTTAATGCTATTGAAATGTTTCATTTATCCATCAGTGCTAACATTAAATTTCTTTTGCTTACTAGGTGGTCCATGCACAATTGACTATTCACGTACACGAACATCAGATCACTTGTTCACAGATCCTCCAGTCTCTGAATTGATTCAACGTCATGGTATCTACGGAGGATTAATGTCTAGACAGTTAAGCTATGTCCCACCTGTAAGCCAACAATTAACAACAGATGAACAGACACCAGAAGATGATGATGATGATGAAGATAATGACAATATTCCTACTGATACTACTGAAATCAATAGTAATAATACTTCTCCGATGGATTTATTGAAACAAAGTCAAAAACTGTTGAACACTGACAAAGTTAATCACAATGATACTAATTTAAATGACAACTCAAAGAGAAAAACGAAATATATCAGTATTCCAGCGATTACTATGAATCCCCTTGAAGAAGAGAAAGAAGATGATAAGATAGGATTAGGATATGAAGAAGATGATGACGGAATTTCACATTTACCTATCGATAGTATTATTAATAATAATCGAAAACGCTATAGCAATCGAAAGAATGATTTGAATGCTGGTAATTTAAATGCCCTAAATCAATCAGGATGGATGACTAAACGAGCTAGTTCACCGCTTCTTAATGTGGTAAGACTGAGTGTTTTTCTGTTCTCTCTTTTCACTGCTTAGTTTATCTACTCAGGTATATCAGATAGTTATTAAAGAACGCATTAAGAATCGAAATGCGGTGTGAACTTTGTGGACGTATTTGCGCCACCGAGACGGAAACGATGTATTGAAATGGTAGTCGTTACATGTGGTACACCTTGCACTAAACTCGTCATTTGCAAGATGTGCTTCGTTTTCTCTTCTGTTTCTCCCTTGATTTGCTCTTCATACATTATTATCAGTAGCATCCAATGTGATACGCCTGCGTTATCCGTTGCATTGCTCTTGGCAGAATCCTTACCCATTGCTGGTAATTCCCTATGATTCCTGCCACCCTCTCAACATATACTACTAATATCCATTCTTATCAGTAACGCCCACTACAATATCGCCTAAAGTCTGTAGCCAACGATTTCAGTTTTCATGCAGACTTTAACTGAGAAGTCTACATTCCCCTAGACGACTCAAATCAATAACCAGCACCAGTAACCTTTATCGGGTCTAAACTTTATTTATCACTCAACATCCCTGACCATCTTCGTACAATTGCATCAACTGTGTTTCCTCTACTGACTAATATTCTACGGCTGAATTCTACACTCATGAAATGTTGGCATCACTACACATGGCCTGTTACACGAAGTCAATGGTTGTCGAACATCTTAAGCTTTCTCATGTCCTCTACCTTTAATGACCATATTTCACAGGCTATCCAATATCACAACACTACACTAAATGCTATGGCCTTTTATATCTATGCACAAATTTCGTGGGTCACTAAGCCGCCAGATCTGATCGGATTCATCGAATTAGTGAAAAGGGTTAACTGTTTTGACCACTTTACTTTTTTGTCGTTAAACAAGGTGAAAGGGAAGATCAGACCTAGAGCAACAATTTACATTTAGATGGTGATAAATGCATCCTACATATTCTAAAATGACCATCCAAGATATCCAGAAGATTCTACATCTTGCTAACATCTTCACTCCACGAGACCATACCATCTACATGCTGTAGGTTTATTAAGGAGTCTTCTGTGACAAAATAAATCCCCGTAAAGTATGATGAGAAAAGGAAGATCTTTATAAGCGCATATGCTCTTTCTGACTTTTCAATATTTTGAAACTTCCCATTGCCAAAATTAGCTGTCATCAGGCTTCACATTAATATCCGTAAATTTTCTCATATATAAAACATTAAACCAATCACCGTGGTTCTTTAGACCTCGGTAACTAAGACATGAAGCATGCAAATAGTGGATATCTAGACAATTAAAATAATAATAATAATAATGTCAAAGATACGCATTTCATCCTATTTGGACTCGTCAGCTGGACGTACCTGCTTCCCAGTGGGTGATGTTGTTCCCATCGTGGCTCGGTGGTGTAATGGAGAACGCACTGGCGTTTGAAGAGATCGCTCCCGAGTCCAAGTCCAGGTGGGAACAACATCACTCACTGGGAAGCAGGTACGTCCAGCTGATGAGTCCCAAATAGGACGAAATGCGCATCCTGAATTCCACTGCTAGCCACTGCCCATCATTACTTAGCATAGTTAAAAGACAGGCAATATCGAGGCATCCACATACGAGCCCATTTGCCAACAGAGACTGATCAATTCGGTCCAATCAACGACGATGTAATACAAGCAATAACACTAATGTGAAAGATAATCCGATTTAACAAATACCAGACGGGACTACGGTATTCCATGTGAGGATTCTATCAGCAACCAGCCCGTTCTGTTAATATAAGAGTAGAACGTGTACACTGTGGTTGACTGAAATTCCATTTTAGTCTGTTTATTAGAAATATCACACAGTGAAACAGTAGCATTCACTGGATAACGTTTATTGGCAATGATTGCGAGGTGAAGTACATAGGTCAAAGTAGTCGACCAGAGTCGATTAGAATAACAGAGCACAAAAACTTAGCTAAATCAGGATCAGTAGATGGTAATCAGATAAGAAATCTAGAGAAAAGCTCGGCTATAGCTCTGCATGCGATGACACACAATCACACAGTAAGGTGGGATAGAGCGACAGTGTTGAAAACTAACTTATTTGGGTGGAGGGAGGGAGAGATTGATAACCGCATCTTTATTTATCGAATCAACACCAAACACATGCAATCAAAATGATTCTGTACCTGTCACAGATATATGGAAAATTCTACTACTCTTGTCATCATAAAGAAGGAGAGAGAATTAGGAATATACCGAGTCTATCTCGAAGTTGTGGAGTTACTGATATGAATATGGAGAATAAATTGTGTCCGAAACGTTATCCAGTGAATGCTACTGTTTCACTGTGTGATATTTCTAATAAACAGACTAAAATGGAGTTATAACCCGTTCTGGCTGATATAGATCCACAAGTGAGTGAAGTGGTCGACATATTCCTCCACTCTTGGTTGTATTGTGTTCTCTGAGCTGAGTTGTTTAGTAGTGGAGCTTTCATTGCCTTTCTAGACGACATCTCTAGTACTGACGTCAGTATGAAGTGAGATGTCAGTACCTTGACCTGATGAACTGGTTTGTGATTAGTTGTTTCCTTTGGTTATTGTGTCATTAACTGACTGCTACATTTTCCCGTTGATTTCTCTTCTACCTGACCTCTGACCTTTTGTCGTTCATCATTTTTCTTATTGGTTGATAGATTGGCTCTATGTCTATACATCTAGTAATTGCTGACTGACTGACCTGAATGCAAGTAATGTCAAGTAATTTTCTTTTTTCTCCGTGACGTTATTGTACTGCAGTGTATTCTCGCTCTCTTGAGTAGAATCTGCTCACAACTAATTTTGTGCGTTGTCGCTACCGTAGTTGAGGATTTGATTAGTGTGTTTGCTTCCTGTACACTTTGGTTTCCAGCTTTCTGGGATTTGTCCTACTGCCTAAAACATCCAGGAATGGTAGTTGGTTGTTTGACCCCTTATCCATTGTGAATTTGATGTCACTGAAAACACTGTTGATCAAGCTGTGAGTCTATCCTAAAGAAGAACAGCTACCCGCGAAACTTCATCAGAAGATCCCTCTCCCGTACAACATCAACTACAAAGTCATCGACAGAGACCAATAAATGCATCAACTGCCGTACATAAAGAATATATCAGAAATCAGACCACTTGGAATTGGTGTGGCCAATAAATCAATGAATTCCATCCAAACGCTATTGTACAGACCAAAGGATGCAACAACCAAGGAAGAAAAACAGAATATCATTTACAAAATCAACTGCAATAACTGTTTGAAACACTACATTGGACAAAGTGGTCGCCTTCGCCTTCGTCTACATGAGCGCCAATTGGCTATTAAACATCACGAAATTTCATCACCATTTCAGTGCTCGTGGATAACAACTATGGACATGAATTGAATTTTGACAGTGTAGAAATTTTGACGGAGAGAGGATGCAAAAGGAATATCAGATAATTCCTAGAAGCTTGGCATTCATGTCAGTCAGTCAGCAGTCGACAAATGTATAAACACAGACCCGATCTATCAACCAGCAAGAAAAATGATAAACGACAGAAAGGTCAGAGGTCAAACAGAGGAAAGTCAACAGGACAATCTAGCAGTCAGATGACACAATAATCAAAGGAAACAACCAATCGCAAACCGCTTCGTCAGTCAAGCTACTAAATCCCTCACAGAGATATACTGACAGCTAATTTCATACTGAGGTTAGTACTGGGATGTCGTCTAGAAAGGCAATGAAAGCTCCACGACTAAACAACTCAGCTCAGGGAACACAATACAACCAAGACCATCACCTGAGCTCAACGCCATCCCTCATATTCCACCACTTCACTCCCTATGATTAGACTTGATGTACTGGCAGGAGACCAGTTCTTAAGCGTTATTTTACATTTGACAGGTGCGAAATGCATGTCAGCAAAGCATAATCAATTTTCTACTCAAGGTGTTCAGAAGACCCTGCATTTTTCAACCTCTTCACCTTTCAGGGAGTAGGTCAATCCCCAAGGTTATGTCCAAATAGTATATCCATGATGAAGTTAAATAAGAAGGCTGGCAGCGGACATCCTTTGAGAACACCACCTGTTGTTGTCAATTCTGATGACAACTCTCCGTAAGCCCTCACACGGCTGCTTTAACACCTGAAAAAAATTCACAATCGATTTTGAGACTCTTATTTTGTCTGGCTATGGATACAACATAAGTGGTGTTTGAATTGGACTGCCAAATATACAGCAATCTTTTGCAAAACTGCAGTTCACGCGTTTCAATTATCTTCATATAATATTTATCATTGAATATGTTTGGTATTAAATTTCTACATCTTGACAAACATTGATTAGGTTGCTTTTCTACTCATAATTGAGACAAATTTATGTCATAAGCTGATCAAAAGATATTTCTATGTGCATGGAACGAAATGTTTATCAACACATACATGTATGATCATGTTTAATAGGTTTTTTGTAGTTAATACCTTACTTCTTCTGCTTTTAAAACTTCTAATTATTATTTAAAGTGGATCAGTTGTTTATTATGTAAAGTCTTTGTCAGTTTATGGTGTTTATTTGTCCTTATTAACTGCGTTTTGAACTGAAAATAGCGAGTTTCGTCAAAATTACATCAATTCATACAAGTTTATGTGCATATATTTTGTAATACTATTTAAACTACTTACGAGTAGGTAGTATCTATAATGGAAGTTTATCTCATGAAAATGATTGAGAAGTTTGGCTTCAGAAATATATATTACACACGAGAAATATACATTTATGAAGCAAAATTTTCATTCATCATGCTTGATTCCTGTCAGATGTCCAGCTCTTTTTTTGATATTTCTAAGGTTCCATGGTGCATTCTGAAATTTACTACTGTCTTCATCAATGTGGTCAGTTAAAATATGTGGTCGGGAAAATTATATTTTGTAAAGTGTCATCAGAATTCTCTTCGTAGACACGAGATCATTTCTATATTCGAGATTGATGTGTATCATGTTAGTATGT